CATTCGTAGGAATTTGTACATTTGTCTAAACCCACGTGATGGGTAGGTTTAGGGGCGGGGTCAGGGTCATTCGTACGAATTCATACGAATTGGGCAACTCGTCAAATATGTACGTTTTAGCAAAAATCGTACTAATTCGTACGAGTGAGGTCGTACGAACTGTTACGAATTAGCCATCTTTTAATCACTCGTCAAATTCGGACGAAATTCACACAGATCAAACACAAATATGCTGACTGAATAGATTGCTAGTTGAGAAACACTGCTTTAATTAATGTTTTTATGATGGCTTTGTGAAAGGTTAACTAAACAGCATGAGCCGTCTTCCAGCTGGCCAGTAAGTTATTTGGCAAATTTCATTCTGTAGGCTAACATACAGATCTGTTTTATGCTATTGTTTTTGATAGTGTTATACATTTCTTACAGATAATCGATTGTCATTGCGTTTGTCTTACCGAATGTGGTAGCTTTATGCAATTACAGTTTGTCTATAAGCTTCTTTTTTTTTAAATGTATTAATGCCGACAGTTAAATGTTGCCAGATATTGCTACGAAAAACAAGCAAAACAAAATAATAATAATAATCCGAAATAAGTTCAAAGCTTGTGTTTTGGAAATAAGGTTAATATATCACTAAACCTTTCCACATTAATAACTTCCTAAAGTGTCACATTAAATCAGAAAAACAGGTGACTACTGCCACCTTTCTATTAGGTGGATCTGGCAACACGGAGGCTGCACCCGCGTTCACAACGCGCTCTCAAGCCCCGTTCAGTTCACTGCGCCAGCTTCTCGCAGCAACATGAATTGCAAACACTCATATGAGGTGGTTTAAACACTGCTAATTAATCATTCAGAGAGCTTGACATTTTATTTTTGAATGTAAAAAAAATGACCGAGGTCCGGACCTCGGTGACCTCATAGCTGGCTACGGCCATGGCAACGATCCAACGACCCAATCAATTCCCGATAGACAAAATCAAGTCCCGGCCTAAAATTGTTTCTGTTTGTGAAGCCGTTTCCCTATCACAATAGGGAAGAAAAGATTTCATGCCAACTTTAACATTATATTATCTGCAAGTACAGTCTTCTAAAAATAAACGTTCAAAATTTGAAATAGTAGCCTATAGACCTTATGCACCAGAGAAGCGAGGGCGCCGCCATCTTTAGAATATTGTCTTTGAACTTCCGTTTTTGCGGTTGCTCTGTATATTTCTATGGCATCGCTGTCCAGGAGTAATTAGCTGGTGAAGTTGATTTACTTATTGTAGAGTTAACGAAAGTTATCATGAGCATTGTAATGTTTATGATAAGCATTGTAAAGCATATCTTAACCAATGGACCTTGGGAATTTTTTTTTAACGAGCCGTTCATTCATAACTAGGCAAAATCAAAAAGACAATGAGCTCAGCGCGGAAAAGGGGCGTGGCTACATAAGGTCTATAGCATAGTAAAGTATAATATAATGGTATAATAGTATAGTAACCTTGCGTGCATTGCTAGTTACAGCACTTGTATACTGTTGCCCTCTTGTGTGGATAAAAGCGTCTGCTAAATGATTAAATGTAAATGTAGTCCAAAGTAGTCAGACTGAAATTTAAAAGTAATGCTTGCTGGTTACAGCAATTAAGATAGACTTCATTGAAATGTTACCTTAAAATTATGTGATTCCATATATGCGTTTAGAAGAGGCAATGGAAGGCTTCACTTTCTCTGGTTTATTTCCTAAATCCTCAAGGCTGCAGTTTTTGAAAGTCTTTGCCCATCTGTGGAGAATGTAATGATATTTTAATCCTGCTGTCAGGCACACAGGGTCTAGGCCAAGCTGGGAAAAGACTCCCAAAACTCTAGTCTCCATAACACACCACATGACAAGCAAATCGGGAACTATCCTGTAATATATCATCTCACTGACTACTGTTTTTTGGATGTGCAATTGTCACTATCTGAGGTAAGTGATGTTGATAGGATCATTTATTTTTAACACCTGGGTTGCCTACTTGAGTAGTAGATACTTACAAACCCATACTTCCTTGTCACCACCGCACACTTAAGCACGGGCAAGGGCTCCCTTAATTTTAGGAGCCCTGTTTCTTAAAAAAATCTATTTACTGTAAATTACTTTGAGTGACAAGGAGTTCCACTAGACTGCAAGTATCATGTCATTTCTGAAACAAAGATGCAAAAACAATTAATAGAATGCATAGAATATATCGAGTTAAACATGTTCTGAGCATTTTAAATTAAACATTGATTACTCGTGTGATGCTTGTAGAAGTGACAAGGAAGTCTTTATTTTTATTTTGCATTGATCACAACTATTCTGGGTTGATGTAGAACATTTAATTAAGAAGAGATTAAATCTTTATTTACAGGTGGATTTGACATAATGCTATACTTCAATGACCATGATTAAACTGATTAATTATTTTTTAATGTTGTTTATATGTCTATATTTTTAATATACAAACCATGAGCAAATTCATAAGTCAACACATTGCTGAGTATTTTCTCCTTAAAACTGCAGTAAACCAAAGACAGTTTGCATATTCATAGCATTGCCTCATTTTAAGGCATGGATAATTTTTTTCAAGGAATATGTGATTATGGTGATCAAAGATGAGTTTTAAGGAATAAAATTATTGACTACAGGGGGACTTTAAGCATATCTTATAAAATTGTTAATATTACCCAAACCAAATTGTTCTCACTTAATGACTTCAAGCTTTATAATGTTTCACATAGGCCTAATTGTAAAAATGTGATTATATAAGTGTAAAATATTAAAGTTCCCCTGTTGTCAATAATCCCTTAAAACTCATCTTTGATCACCAAAATTACATATTTAAACGTTTTTCCCTGAAATTTTTTTTATTCATGCCTTAAAATTGCTTGACTGTAACTACACCCTATCTTACGGTGGCCGAGACAGCTCAACGCGCTGCAACTGAAGAAAACACATGCAAATAGAAAAAAACACATGCAAATAGAAAAAAACGCGTGCAAATAGAAAAAAACACATGCAAATAAAATAAAACGCATGCAAATAGAAAAAAACGCATGCAAATAGAAAAAAACGCGTGCAAATAAAAAAACACCCGCAAATTAAGAATACATCTTCATCAGTTTCATAACACATGTATGCTCCAAATACTCAACACCACCAAATAAAGAAACGCGCTGCAAATAACACAGAACACAACGGAAATGTTTCCAGGGGAACCAAATAAGGAGAGGGGGTTCAGCGAAAAATCGGCAGCTGGCAGCAGGAAGTAGCTGCCACTGGCAGCAGGAAGTAGCTGCCGTTGACAGCTGACCGTACCTGCCAATAAAACCGGACGTCAGCTGCCGCTATAACCGGAAATCGGAGGTGTATGCCGCTTTTAGCCAGGCAAATAATTATTATATTAATTTATATATAATTTTTGTACTTATTTACATTTTATTAGTAATTATTTTATATAATTTGATTAAAATCAAGTTACGAAGATCATAGAAATAATAAGAAACAAAAAAACAAGCTACACTTGAAATTATGCATTTGTACGTGTATAAATATAACTTATGAATGAGTATACATGTTTGTTAAATAATGAAATATATACATGCATAAATTAATTCCTATGTACATAAACATTCATTAAACTTAATGAAAGTCCTGTCTAAAAGAAAAAAAGAACATTGTCTTATCAATGACCTTTATTTAAAATCATATTTTGCTATCATTAAGTTCAGTTTTACATTTGCAGTACTTAAATACATTCTTGTATTTGTTTAATAAAGCAGCTGTAACTTTTGAAACAGGCTTGATATTTGGGGCATGAATGACATCAGTACATACATGTTGGCTACTTCTGATTGGCTAAGAGAAAAGTCTAAATTCTACACTTATGGATAGATAGAAGATAAGCCGACATTAATCAAGATAATTGTCATCCGAGTCCAAGACTTGGTTCGGTGATGACCTCGGAGGTCGTAGAAATGCATCTCGGGGTCTGTTGTTGCATATCACAAGACCTGCACAGATCATTCAACACACACACAAAAGCACAAGGGAATCGCAGTTCCTCCAAGGTTGTAGAGGGCCTAAGCTCATCATTATAAGGACAGACTACCAAAACATACTGATAAAACACTCCTTCCTCAGATAGTACGGACAATGATCACTTTATTCATTAAAGAAATACACATACAATTCTGTGAATCCGATCACATAAGTTAACTTGGTCAGCAGAAAACAGACTGATGAGGGTCTTCTTCAGACTTGAGCTCTTCTATTAGCTTATTAGCAAAGTTAGAAAGAAAGAATTTTAGTTAAGTTAAAGATTAGTTAGAAAAAAAGAAAGATTAGTTATAATAATAATAATAATTTATTGTCATTCCAGTGATACAACAAAATTACATTAGGGCATCAGTCGACAGTGCAATTTCATGAGGTATAAGAGATCAACAAGGGCATATTTTGTAAACAGGACACAGCGGCAGATATCAACCAAGAAAAAAAGAAAAAAAAGAAGGTGTATGAGGCGGAGAATCAATAGTAACCAGGAAAAGAGAGTATACTTGTATGTGCTGCAGCGATGCAAAGTCCGGTCACAATTATTGCAATGTTGGATAATATGCATAATAGACGGATAAACGAGATTAACAATAGCAAGGAAACAGGGAAAGCGACATAAAACAAACAAGGAAAGGGCATATGAGGCAAAGAATCACTATTAACCAGAAAATGTGTATAATTGTGTGTGCTGCAACAATGCAAAGTCCAGTTCACAGTTATTGTAGTTGTTGGGTAGTGTTAAGTGAGTGGATTAAGTGAGAGGAGGAGGTAGCCGGGGATGGTGTTATTCAGCAGTCTAACTGCCTGAGAATAGAGGCTGTTGGCCAGTCTGGCTTGAAGGGACCTGTACCTCCTACCCGATTGTAGCAGGATGAACAAGCCGTGTGCTGGATGGAACCGATCTCATGATGTTGTGTCCTACGCAGTTAGATGAGTTAGATGATTAAGTAGGCTTTTAGACTGGAACTGGTAGAGTGAACGAATTTGCACTCTCCAGCAGCTGACACCAATCACTGCAAAACCCTGGATGGGTGTTTTCCGAGTAAAAACCTTGCATTTCTCCTCGTTTTCCTCTTCCAACATAACCTAGAGGATTCATAAGAAAATTGTGAGATTAATATCCAAATTACCTTATTAACAGTGCACATGGATGCAGCCACATGAATGACTATTCTTATTGCATTTTGTCATTAAGCACATTTTCATTCATAATTGATGCACCTGGTAAGCAGTTCTTGTAAATGTCATTGCAGTGTCTGCAGGGCTGCAGTGTGTACATCTGATAATATTCTTGACATGTCTTCTCTCTCCAATTTGTTACACCTGAATATTTCAATTTGAGGAGCATAAAAATGAGCATGATTAAAAAGAGAATAATTGAAGACATAATTACATTTACATTTATTCATTTAGCTGACGCTTTTATCCAAAGCGACTTACAATTGCTATATATGTCAGAGGTCGCACGTCTCTGGAGCAACATACCAATACATTTCTCAGTTACCATTTTAAAACCACATTTCAATCAAATGTGTAAAAGAAAGTAAATACAAACATACTGTCAAGCCAGCAGAAGTGTGCCCTCCTCCTAAACGAGTCTGTATCCACCAGACTTCTGAATTTAGAACAAACTAAAGACAGATTTAACAAACCGGAATCACCCTCCTCAAGGACCACGTGAAGAAGAATTTCAGACAGGACAGCGTCTGGCAACTATTGGGTATTACAAACAAACCAAAAAATGAATACTGCCATTTCCAAACATCATGACCTAACCTCCCTTAAAACAAAATGTGCATCCTATGGGTGCAGGTAATACATGAAAACATTTAATTTAACAATAAGATATGTCATAAAGCTACTAGTTTGTGAGAAAATAAAGGCTTGAAATCTGTTCGTTCTTTGCTTCTGTCATATTGAATGTACTACTACCATCAAGATTTCGATGTTCTGTACTTGTCCTGCCTCCTCACTGATCGACATGGCTGATGTGCGCTTCTTTCTAAAAACAAAACAAAAACAACATGCATTTCATTACCAAACATTACTTAGCCAAAATAGTTTTTATTTACATATTCTATCTATACCTTCCATTTGTCATTTTTGACAATAGCAGATTCACCCACCACCGCCTGATATGGGCCATATCATTCTGAAAAGCAAAAGATAAATTTGGAAATGGATGTTTAAAATGTCCAAAAATAATACCTTTCCTAAAAAAATATTAAGAGAAGGGATAGTGCTTACCTGGGTGAAGTCAAACTCCCAGTTAAACACCTTGTACAGTGCATACTGTCAGACAGATAACACATTTTTAAAGGGGTGGTTGATTATGATTTCACTTTTCTAACTTTAGTTAGTGTAATGTTGCTGTTTGAGCATAAACAACATCTGCAATATGAATAAGTTACGACGATCAAAGTTCAAAGCAAAGGGAATTTTCTTTATACAGAAATCACTTTTTGAGGACTACAACAAACAACTGGTAGGGAATACACAAGCTTCCTCCTGGGCAATATGCTATAAAAATTATCTGTAAGGTATTTTTAGCTAAAATTTTCACATACACGCTCAGGGGAAATCAGAGACTTACTTTACATATTGTAAAAAGGGGTATTATACACCCCTTTGATAATTACAAATATAGATCAAATTATTCACTTGTCAATCCCTGAAAAAAAGAAAGAAACTCTATTTTCATTGGGAACAGCCTGATAGTCTTTTGATGACAATTATGGATGTTGGGTTATCCTTAAGATAAATGTTATGGGGGGAAAAAAAACACCGTAATTACTTACCATTAGCATGAATACTCCACAGTCCACAGATCCTAACTGTGCTGGAACACCCTAGAAAAGAAATCAAAATGGAAAAATTTACATTTTATTTATGCACTAAAGATGGCAAATAAATCAATTGTTGTAACATGAAATCAATACCTTATTTTTAACAAGCTTCCAAGATCCTGGAACCATCTTTATTGCAATTGAGCTTAAAAAGAAGGGAAAAAGTTAATTATTTTATACACACGAGAGAGAGAGAACAAGAGGGAAAGAGAGAGAGGGAGAGGGAGAGAGGGGTATAGACAGGTATAGTCACATGACAGTTACCAGAACTAGGGAGCAGGTGTATTTTTTTTATTTTTTTTTTTATGCCACTGTCTATGCCCATCTAAAGCCAGAGAACAAAGTGTTGAACTGAACCACTGGACTTTAAAACTTTGAAACCCAGTTTCACAGACAGGGTTTAGATTATGCCAGGATTAGGCCTTAGTTCAATTAGGACATTGAAGTAGCTTTTATAAACAAGCCTTAGAAGTTTTTTTTACTGTTGTGAATATTAAAAGAAACAATGGCACTGACATTTTAAGAAGTTGCTTTCAGTTAAACCTGCATTTTAGTCTGGGACTAGTTTGAGACTTGTCTGTAAAACTGGGGGTGAAAGTTATATGGAACAATGAACAGTTCCATTATATTTTGTATAGATTTATATAAAATTAAACAAATATTAACAATATATACAGTATATAGAATGCATAAAACTTCAACTGGAACACAGAACAGTTTTTTGCCCCACGGAACTCCATGGAATGGAATTATACAGTATGTAAACCTGAACATTGATACACAGTCAGTATCTCCATAACCTCTAGGGTCAGTGGAGTCGAGGACATGTATCCTTTTAAGTTTCGGGAGTAATACCTGCAGAATACACAAAGCAAACTTCCTACAATATAGCCTGCCTGTGTGTAGGTTGGTTATTTCTTGTTTTAATTTTTAAGTATACAATTTTTATTAAGATAAAGAGGGAATACAATTAATGTCTAATTATGATTACCATAGAAATGAACAATATCAAATATGGCTGTCAGGCAAAACCTTGGATGAAAACAATGATTAAGATATTTCCAAAATTAAACGAATGGTATTTGAAGAAATCAACAACTTACACACAGGGTCCAGTGACCTGATTTGCATATAGGAAATAGGATGCAGTCTTTTGAGGATGCATCAGTCTGTTGGAGTGAACAGAGGAACAACAAACAGAGCATATTGTTGGAATGTGGCAATTCATCTGAGAAATTACAATAAGTTAAACTACTTTAAGTTAAATAAGATAACTTAAAATTGATACTTCTCCCCAAATTTTAAATTATGTCATCATTTACTCACCCTCAACCTGTCCCTTTAAAGGAGGATATCAAACCTACTTTCTAAAACTACTTACCGGCAGGGACAGAAATGGATCACAATTCAAAGGTGGTTGCCAAGTGGCCACCACATATGAATCAAGAACATGAACATCCTTGCCCTGTAAAAAAAGAAAAAACACGTTACAACTTAATTTTAAAAGCACAAATATGTAATATCATTAATACTTTATATTACACAGGTTTGTCAATGACACCCATAATACCTTCTCTCCAGCAATGTGGGATAACTGAGAAAGGCAACAGTTCATCACCTATTGCATAAGGATCAGGAATGTTAGGTAAAAAAAATAGATCACAAGTTACTTAAAATATATTAAAATAAAGTTGTGTAACATATCCACTAACTGTTGCCTCCACTTCCTGGTTCAATCCTAAAGACATCAAGTCAGATCTTTTCAACACTGTTTTACCCACGGCACCTATGATTTCATCTGGTGATTGGGTCCCATCCAAAACATGATCAAACTAAAACAGTAACAATAGAACAGACTAATTTTAGTCAAATGTTAGTTGTCAAATGTCAATGTCAAATTTTAGATAAAATCTAAAATCAAGACAGTTTATAATACATTTGAACATTGTGTTCCTTATGTGAAAACATACCAGTGGGTTTGGGTGGTTTTGCAACTGGAAATCTGAGGTTTCCTTCCTGGCACGTATGTTTGTCCGTCCCCAGCAATCTGTGTCAGGCTCTGGTGAACTTGGTGGAACTACAAAATACAGAAGTTTAGAATATGGTGAAGTAATATGATTAAAATGGATTTATGGTTTTCATTCCATCAGGTATTTTGTATTAAAACATGGCACATTTGGGATATTGGCTACCAAATAATGATTTATATAAAAACCTAAACCTGATATTTACAATTACTGAAGTGATTCAAGTCAACTTTACCTTCTTGAAGTTCTGTGGTACTACCTGTAGAGCACACAAAAAACATTAATGGCTAATTGAAACAATCTAAAGGGCATTAGAGGCAATATTGAAAATCAGTAATCACTAAAACTACCTTCATTCCTGAATGTCAATTTCCCATGTAGGCCAATGTGGATTGAATGCTTTGCCTGCATCTTCAAAGTTTTTGTGTATTTTTCATTAACTCTTTTGTTGTGAAGATGAAAGTACAGTCGTAGGGAGAACATATAATGTTCATCCCTCATTTGACACAAAGAATATCTGCTGGAAGACAACTCCCGGTTTAGCTGTTCAGCTACGGAGGAATTAACAAGAGAAGCTAAGTGTGGTGCCAATTTCAAACTTCTCAAAACCTCCTCTTGTCTGCTTTGATTTTTTTGATGGAACCGATCATACAAAGAGAATCTTGCATTGGTTCCTGTCACAGGATGCAGTGAGGACAAAGTGTCAGAAGAATAGGTGGCCTCATTTTCAGAGACTTTTCTTGATGAGAAGCCAACACTTGTCACCCATGGGAACCGGACTTCAAGTCGTTTTTCCGCTGCTGCCTGGATGTGTGCAGCAGTGTTTTCACAAAGTCGTCCATCATATGGCTGGAAAAAACGTTGGTTGGTGCGATTATTAACGTGTCTTGCAACACGTCCAGCAATGTCGGACACATACACTGTGGGAGGGTGTTTAAAGCTCAAAAGAGCATCTCCATGATCACGGGCTGACTCTTGCCACCACAGTGCTGACTGGTAGTACACCACAGAGTGTGGGCAGGTCATGTGCAAAACACCACCTCCATTTGGCAAAACAAAGAAAAATGGTGTAAAATTTTAAAATTAAACATCCTCAAAACATTTCATATGCATGACAAAAAAGAAAGAAAGAAATGTAAATACAATTTAAAGGGTTGGTTAGTTCCCCCAAAATCGGGAATTTCTGTCATCATTTACTCACCCTCATGTCGTTCCAAACCCGTAACAAATTAAGATATTTTTGATGAAATCTTAGAGGATTCTGCACCATCCATAGACAGCAATATCATTGCAACATTCAAGGCCCAAAATGGTAGTGAAAAACACTTTAAAATAGTTTAACCTTAACGGTTCAACCTTAATATTATGAAGAGAAAAGAATACATAGTGCGCAAAAAACAAATATAACATCTTTATTCAACAATTTATTTTCTGTTTGTCTCCCGACATGGTAAACAGTGCAGCACTTCTGGGATCCACGGCAGAATGCCATCTAATTATTAGCCGACACGGTTCACGTGATCACCACGACACATGCGTGTGATGCTGACGCAGGAGACGGCCAATAGTGACGCGGCATTCTGAAGTAGAACCCGGAAGCTTTGCACCGTTCACACTACGTGAATAGCTGACACAGAAGAGAAGATAATCATTATTTTTTGAAATAAATTATTTTTGGGTTTGCGCACAAAAAGTATTCTCATTGCTTCGTAACATTAAGGTTGAACTACTGGAGACAGACTTTTTACTACCTTTCAGGGCATTGAAAGTGGTTATTGCATTGCATTCTATGGAGGGGTCAGAAACCTCTCGGATTTCATAAAAAATATCTTAATTTGTATTCCAAAGATAAACAAAGGTCTTACGGGTTTAGAACGACACAAGGGTCAGTGATTAATGACAACATTTCCCTAAATGGGTGAACTAACCCTTTAACATATGACAATGTCTTACCACCAGCCTTTTGAAGCTTAACAAACATTTTGGGGTACAAATCCTTGTACAGGAGTAGCTCCTCAAGTCTGTTAATTAAGTCAGTGGTACTACCCACGTGTGATACTCCCAGGGCATTGCAGGCTTTCACCAAGGCTTCTTTCTTTGGCTAAATATAAAAGTCATGGTTAATAAAGAAAAAAAAAATGGTAGAAAACATCATTACAGAATAAGGTACACTACATACAGTTTTGGACTCCAGCACTTGCAAAATGGCTTCTTCATCTATCTCCAAGCCACAGCTAGAGGTGAAAGCACGATCTTTCTGAGACAGACCTTTGTACACTTCTGTCTTTGGAACAATATCGCTTACCCTAGAGCAGTTACCCAGCCATGGAGTAAAGGCAGTGTATGTCAAGGGATGTGAATAAGGATTGGCAAATGTGTTGCCTAAAACGCAAAAAGGAAAATAAAACTTTCATTTCAGGATGTAAGCTATGGGTGCCCCCACTCCACCCCCAAAATAGCACTTACCATCACAGAACCCAGAAGCAGTCATTTCCTTCTCAAGTGTCTCCCATCTTGTTCTCACATTGACTTGAGTATCCTCTTGGCAGATTTTGTCCAAATTTGGCCGTTTAAACAGATGTGCTAATACACAACCAAGACAATGAGCAAAGCAGCAAATATATATCAAGACCAGTCATTATATGCACTCACAATTAACAATACACTCTCACTTACCAGGTAAATCAAATGCAATTTTCCAGTTTCCATCTGCAACCAAAACTGGAGGGCTGTGGCCACATCGAACACATGAATAGTCATAGGAGTACTCCCTCAGAGCAGAGAAATGATAAAATGCCTTTCGTATCAAATTGTGTGGAAGAGTGATGTTGGCATGATCCTCCATTGTTTGCAAAAAACGTCCAAGGGCAATATGATTCTATAAACACACACACAGACACACACCTGACATGTAGAATTATTTGTAAAATTCAAGTCATGTTTTTAAGTCACTCACTGCCAGTCCAGATGTCAGAAGAGAACAGAGGGGAATGGTCAAAAAGGTCCTGTTTTCATAATTGTGGAAACCAGACTGATATTCTTGAAACCTCACTGGACATCTACAAACAAGGCAGTCCTTCACATACACTGGCACATCTGGAGAAGACAGAAATTGTTTAAAAGATTAAATGTTAAACACATTGTGGAAAATACATGAAAAAGAGATCTATACATTTCTGAAATTAACCTCGAGTCACTGAAGATATTCCATACACTGTCCCATGCCGTGTAATTAGTACCCTCTCCCCCAAAGCTGGTGGAGTGGGACCAGGGCAATAAGGACAGTTGGACTCCAGGGGTTCAAAGAAGTCTGGTATTTGGCGTTCTTTTGTTGACAAATCCTGTGGAAGGTTTTCTGGCACCCTCTTTAGCCGCCACAAATAATCTGTCAACTTCTGTATGTCAGTAGAAGCCAGTGTTGCCACTTCTGTCTCTGCAACATCTCTGACCCTTTCATCCACATCACTGTCTTCACCATTTGGGTCAGTTTGACAGGAAAGGAGGTGGGGTTTCTCTTGAAACAGCCACCACATGCACATGTATCTGTGGACGCAGCTTCTCATTCTATTGCGGCACTGGCAGTGCCACTTGCCCAGATGGCTATCAAAAGAGACTCTGGTCCTTTCGAACTGACACCAGCTGTCTCTTACCCCAGTAAACACAGAAAAATAAACTAACCTGACAGAGGTATGCTCATGCCAAAAAATGGGGAAAACACAATCCACACCACCAGCAATACTTTTGTTTCTTAGCTGCACACATTCATCTTGTCGGGTTTTGGACAGCAGGCCACTGTCAACCATTGACTGCAAAGAGTCTTCCCTAAGTGCTGCTGGTGCAGAATAGCACACAGCTCTATTGGTTCTCTGAAGGTGATCGCATTCAACGCCTGGATTGCCACTTTCTACTCCAATCCTCATAAAATCTCGACACAGAGGTGACTCACAGCCAATAGACCCCGAGACGACTTGTTTCTTTATGTGAACAGGGACTCTAGGTCCATGGGCATCTTTTGGGGTGACAAAAATCCCATTTCGTTCATCAATACAAATGACAGGTGGCTGTTCCTTGACCTGCTGCCCTGCCTTTGGTTTTTCTGATGATGGCATTTCTGAGGGACAATATAAACATGTTAAAGTAAACAAAGATCAACAAATATTAAACATTCTTAAATACCAGTATCAAAGGTACATACTGTCTGGCTTGTTGGTAATTTTGCATGTAACTGAAAGATCTGCAAAAAGGACAAAAGATGAGGTGAGTTAATCATAACATGAAATAAAAATGAAACAAAACTTTAAAATTTAACTAATTACATTGCACATACTATGATTATGTAGGTGCTTTTTAAAGTCAGGGGCACGACACAAGATGTGCTGACACTTAGGGCAATGCCAATGGCACCTATTTTTTTGTCGGGCATTCAAACAAAAGCAAGGAACACAATATTTTTCTAGAAAGACAAGAGAATGTTAATACATTTTAACTTACAACAAACATGTTAAATGCATGCGTGCTTTGTACAATGCTTACGGATGCCATTGTCCTCAAAATATATGGCATGCTTTACATGCTTTTCCTGAAAGTGCTCAGGACTCGAAATCACCCCAGTTGTACAGTAGGGACAACTGCCTGTCCCAGAAAAGACGACATCTTTTCCAAAAGCAAAGGGTATTCCTACACATGCAGTGTATACGAGAAAATAACATATCTCAAATAGCAACACAAATTCATTCACATATAAAGGTAGAACATTTTAGAAGTCTAATTACATCTTTAACATGGGCAGGTATTTGCATGTTCTGCTCAAATGAACTTTAGTAAGTAAGATTTTGGTAAATAATTGGCTTCTTATCTGCCATAATTGATTGGCAGTTACACAAGAGGTGTAGAGCAGGGTGTACACAGAGTAAGAAAAAGAAAGGTAGTTCTTAAAAGAACTGTTTTGTCCAAAAATGCAATAGTAATAAAAAAATCAATAAATGGTTGGATATCAGACAATCCCCTGAAAAATTAAATACACAAAAAACGACATGGTTATTAGTGTTGCACGTGTAACGTTAGGCTGAGCTTGTCAATAATTCCAATAAATCAGCATTACCTTTATTCTAATCAATAGATTAAGTTACCATGTTAACAAACGCTAATATTTAATGGTGATGGTAATAATAACGTTGTATTTAAAGTTAATGGTAGCCCCTCACAAACCAGGACCACACAGTGCACAAGCTGCGTTTCTGCAATAGGCACAGATACACTGTCTCTAACATAAAAAGTTAAAATTTACAGAGCAACAAATATTTATAATCTGATAATTCATTTACGAATTTACCACGCCAAAAACAGCCGCCATTGCTGAAAATTCGCGGGCGCCACCAATGAAAATGGCCTGCTGTCGAAGTTACATATGATTGGTTGCTGCTACGTTGGACGACACTGATTGGCTGCCACGAACTGGCAGGTCCCTCCTAATTTGGCAGGGCTTCCGGCTGTCAACGGCAGCTACTTCCTGCTGCCAGTGACAGCTACTTCCTGCTGCCAGCTGCCGATTTTTTAGCTGAACCCCTACTGGAAATAAGTGACGAACCGGCTGGGACGTGCTGGCATAGATATCCATAAATCTATGCGTGCTGGTGCTTACAGCTTAAAATAATACTTTATTTATTTATTTATTTGTGCAAAACATACAGAGATTACATTTTTTTATGACATACAACTTGTATACAATGTACAAAATGTATTAACAATATGTTCAATGTCATCAGAATACAAATGAGAAAAGAACAATGAGCTGGAAACTAAAATAAATAAATAAAAAAGATAAAGAAGAAAAACATGAAGGAAAGATATTTATCTAAACATCAGTTACACTGTACAAATTGTTTCATGTTATTACATTTTCATAAATAAAAGTTTCGTAAGAAATGTTAGGTAATGTAGGGTCCAAAATTTTAAAGTTGAGACACACAGATATATAACGCATATTTTCAAAGCTTTTTTGTAAACTAAAAATAAAAATGTATTTGCAACCGTTATGTTAACAGCATTATATTTCTGTGGTAGATGGGTAAGACCAGCTGATGGACGCCGTGCTGCGTTGTCATGGGAACATCCCAGGTGAAAATAATGAGGAAATTACGCTCCACACGGCTATAACAGCACACTAGAGCCCTGCTCACTCCAAAGGCCCACTTTAAGGGCTCTGCAATCTGCCCTTCGAAGAGAGTAGGGCACAGGGACGCTCACGAGCAGTAAGCACGTCCCAGCCGGGTTCGTCACTTATTTGGTTCCCCTGGAAACATTTCCGTTGTGGTCTGTGTTATTTGCAGTGCATTTTCTGTATTTGGTTGTGTTGTGAACTTTTGCAGCGCGTTTCTGTATTTGGAGCACACGTGTGTTGTGAAACTGATGAAGATGTTTTTTTTTAATTTGCAGGTGTTTTTTTCTATTTGCACGCGTTTTTTTCTATTTGCATGTGTTTTCTTCAGTTGCAGCGCGTTGAGCTGTCTCGGCCACCGTACTATCTCCCTTTAATACGCGGTTCTATTAATATGCAAATTAGCCCCGGCACACGTTGACCCGATTGGTTATAAGGTAGTTTGTGACGTCAAAAACACCAGCGATTTCGCGTTTTTGAGACTGTCTTTGGTTCACTACAGTTTTAAAGAGAAAATACTCAGCAATGGTGTAATTGGTGTTGACAGAAGCATTGCATAAAAGCATATTAAAAACACCAAGACATAAACAGCATTAAAAGCTTGATTTTCAAAACGGGTGACTTTAAAGTGCCCCATTATGCTATTCTAAAGGTTCCTAATTTTGTTTCGGAGGTCTTTCATTTTCTCATAATGTAGATTGCACATCACCACATTTTTCAATTATTATCAAACGACTCAATTCGGTCTCTAAATCCCTCCTTTCCGCGATCTATACTCTGCTCTGATTGGCCAGATGGCCCCATTCAATACAGTCTGAAAATAATATAAAAGAACTAGGCTACTAAAACCTTAGTGACAGGATCTGAACAGCAGTGCCAAAGCTCACACACACATACTTGGGAAAATGCAGATTACTCACTGCTTTCTGAAAGGATAATTTCCATCTCCCGTATAATATGATGTAGGCTATTATAATATATCGTTGACATCAGCAGGATCGATTCGTGCATATGATGGACTTCTTCAAAAAGGACCATTTGTCTTTTACAGCTTGTTAAACAGCCATGTCTTTGATTGCAAAACTTTGTGTGAACTATGATGACACATTCTACATTTAATGAGTCAGTGAATCACCACTGTGAACGCCAGCTGTAATTTCATGATAAGTATTGCAGTTTAGGAAATTGGACAAAAATTCAAGCTTCTGGGAAAGAGACTATAGCTAAAAGAGACATTTAATAAAAACATAAAAAGCATCTATTGACACTGACAGCATATAGCTACTTAAGAATTCATAGCTGAAGCATAGGCTATACATCAACTTCTATAACAATGCTGGTAGAAAATGTACAACTCTTTACATATGGGTGTGACAGCCGTTTTTACGCTAATATCTCTCCTTGATAATCACTTTTCAAGTAAAGTGCCTCACCAGATTATGAACACAAACATTTTTTATTTTTCCATGACATTTAATTTAGTGGAACCACCTGTTTTGTTGTCGTTTGTCTCCTTGCTTCTTGATTTACTGTTGAATGATTCTGTGTATGGAGAGCAGGCCAAACAATATTCTTGCTTTTCACATCAGAGTATGCTTTTTGGCACTGGTCAACCACTGCCCCAAGTTATTATTATTCTAAATTTGGTCATCTTCAGAAAACAAGCATTCAAAGACTAAATACCAAAATACCAAAATATAAATCCTTCAACAATCAACCAGCAAACAGAAAAAGAATTCCTCTGTTTCATATAACAGAGCAATTTCTCAAGAAGAGACCAAATCAAATAAAAAAGTGTCTAATCTAACAAGAACTAAATAGGCCTAAATACATGTAGCCTATAGTGAATTAGTGTGAGAGGTAAGAGGTTTGTTACTGTATGACTGACGGAGACACCAAAGCTATAGGCCTACTTGTGTGATGTGTTGCAGACATTTGTATCTATGATCTGTCCTCTAGTGGTTGTGTTTTGCAAGTGAATTTTTTTTCATCAATGAATATATAGGTTTATACATATTTATTTATTCAAGTCACAAAATTAAGCCTACATGCATTAATGTGTTTCCAGCCTATTTTGGGGGAGAAAAAACATTAATATGGTTTGGGTTTATTTGAACCTCATTTCAGTAAATTCTGGCAATACTGAATACTGCAAGTGACTGTGTCCAGGTCATATTGTGTTTAAAATCCCTTAAATACATCAATTGTAATAATAATAAGATTACGTAGGACTTAAACAACTCTAAAGGTAAAAGCTATATTAAACATTTGCTATGACATGTGTTTCCTGTAATATTATGAGTCACTGTCGTTACGGGATATGTTGCGTTCTGTCCTACTGGATGGTAAATAAAGAGGAAACACTGTGTTCATGGCTCGGAGCGAGGCCCAATTCACCGATTGCTTCATTGAGACGCATTGAAATCTCAGGTCTTGTTTTGCACACTAAAACCTCAAATAATTTAATTCTTTAATTTTAATATTTTGACGTAAAAAAATGAAAGCATTAAACATTAAAATTCACCCCATCGCTCGATATAAGACGATTTAAAAATATATTTATCTTGTAATCACAAACAGTTGTGATTGGTCCACCAAGATCAGCGCAAATAAAAGTATTAGTTACCACGTGACCACGTTGTCAGGGATCTATTTCAGCAGCAGTATGGACAATAATCTACACCTCCATAATGACACTCAGAAATTGTGCATTGACATATAATTTAAAATAAGCGTTTAAATTAGTCAAATTAAAATAATTATTATTTTGATCATTCATGACGTCTCTTAGCCCCGCCCCCTTCAAAACTTCTGATCCGTGCTAATGGCCATTCTACGTATTTATTCTGGTCTGCCGACTCTGCCCTGATAAAGTAAAAGTGCTGCCCACTTGGGCGGATCTCAAGTTTATCTTTTATCATGTATTTCGCCAGAAATGTTCCATTTCCATAACGCGCTGTAACCATGCAGCGTTTTACCTTCACAGCTCATGTACTTTGCCGTCTTTGTCTTTGGGGTATGTACGCAATATTCTTTTAATTAAGTATATAGACATCTGTTTTACTTCTTAATTCATGTAATAAAGCATATTTGCGGTGAAAGATTTAACCGGTCGCTTTAGTCTGTTTTAACAATTTATTCATGTAAAGGCAATGTACATTCATGCGAATGGGATACTTATAGTAATAGTGTCAGTCTATAAATATTGTATAGTGATGGAGGAACTTTTCTGTCCTTTAAGGTGACTTTAAAGAGTTTATTATCTATTCTTGTTGTTAGCAAATCCATTAATATTTTAGAATTTTTATTAGAAACTCTCAACTTATTATTTTTTTAACGTCATTTATCAAGGATGTTGTTAATTCTTGGATAGCATGGCATTTGTGAAACATTTTGATTCTTCATCAGGATGTGTTGCAGAGAGCATCCATACTTTACCTCATGTGGAGCAGTTTGATGTGGTGAGACCTAAAAGACTGAGCCTCAGTAAGGTACATCCGTTTACCACCGGGATCTTACAGTTACAGCAGCAAGAAATGTCTAAAAAAACAACCTGTTTAGTTCTTAGATTTTTGGAAAAGCAACAGTGGAGTTGTGCTGTTTATGTGTGGATTAACATATCAATCCTATGCAGGTACAGTCTGATAAAAGTCCACAAAGCCATGAAATGTATCCTGATAGACTTACATACAAATTATTCTTTGGAGGGGAAAATCACATGATTCATTTGGAAAAGAACAGGTGAGTGTTGCATTTGGGTGTATTATATTTCACTTGAAGTTTCTCTCGAAGATGTCTGCACATTTAATTTTGATGTTAAATAGTATGAAATACACCATTGTACTCCAAAGTCAGCCTAAATAAATGTTTACTGTGGTTTAGGCACCTCATTGGACATAATTATACTGAAATATACTATCAAGATGATGGATTGATTGTGAGCAACAATCCAAATTTAAAGGTAACTTACTGTAATTTAACAATTCCTATGTTCAGAACAGAATACTTTTCATACTATTTCTGCAGTATATGCTGTAGTATTTTCTAGATCCATACTGTAAACTACTACCTTTACTAACATCTGCACTTAACTCCATTTCCCACGTGCTAAAAGATTTGGAAATAATTATATATAGGATTTTAAACATACAGTATATGAATTTCTAAGATGATGATCAGAAATCGCTTGAAGAACTAAACATGCAAGGTCATGTTACAGCATTGTAGCAAACTGTTGTTCACATACTATTTAAAATAGTATTGCATAGTGCGTAGTTCCTGCTAGTATTCCATTCAAAACATGTATTAAAGTCACATAGGATTGGTTGAAGTGCCCTGATATAAGCTTTAGATATACATATAAATATAACTTTTGTATCTTTTGTATCAGGAAAATTGCTATTATCATGGCCATATTCAGGATTTGGAAGATTCCTCAGTCAGTGTGACAATCTGTTCTGGAATCAGGTATCATGCACAACGGCATGCTCCTATTACATCATGTTCATTACAAGACGCTTTTTATACATTTCCTAATGGATATGCAGTAGTATTAGATGCCATGTTTGTATGCTCTTCTTGAACAGCAGCATTCTGTCCTCTGTCCATAGAGGTTTTGTTAGGGTGAAAAAGCAAGTATACCTGATTGAACCCCTGACCAACCACACTGATGGAGATCATGCGCTCTATAAGCACCAACATCTGAGGTGGAAGAGAAGCTCTTGTGGTGAACCAAACACCGCCATTTATGACCATGAACCACCAGTGGCTGTCCCCTTAAAGTCCAGCAGACAGGTAATAACATCTTCTAGCACACTTTTAGCTAATGTTCTGCGTATAAAGAAATTATATATAGATTCTAAAACATTGATATATCCTCTTAGAAAGTGAAGCGTTTTCACACTCCAAGATTTGTGGAATTGTTTCTTGTGGTCGATAACACTGAGGTAAGAATTTTACCTTTCATTTTTTAGTTTTTAAGTATATACAGAGACTATTTGGTATATATCAACAGTTATGAGTTTTACAATGACTGATGGTGGTGCAAATATCCAGGCAATAAAATCTTGCTGATATTTAAAAAATGCTGAAATGAAGTAAACACCTTTTTTTACAATTTACTAAAAAAAAGGCTTTTTTTTACAAGGCTGAAAAATGTGTAGGCTAATGCCATTAATTAAAAAATGGTCAAATATTGTCTGTTTGATTGGCCTAGATAATATATTAGTGAATCACTAATATTTATGCCTTATAGATTTTGACAATTGTTTATACTGAGGCCAGTATACAAAAGCTGAAAGTAAATTTTCCAAAAAAGGCAAACAAATGATTGCTATTTTTTTACTCTTATAGTACAAAACCTATGGTTCTAACATGGACATGATCAGAGCCAGGATGCTGGAGGTTGCAAATCACGTTGACAAGGTATATATTCATATATTTTATTCTAATATAGATTCAAACCTACAAATATTTACTTTTTTGATTTACAATATTTGAAAATCAGCCAAAAGTGTTTTTTCAACTTTCTGTATTGTGTAATGCTGTTGTTACAAAATCACTCCAAAGAGAGTTATTCTCTATATCAGTAAGCACTGATTCTGAGTTCCCTGAAACGCCTCGATTGTAATCTTGAGTTTATTTCCGGAAACGTACACGTCACAATATTCCTCATTTAAATAATTCCCTCCCAAAGGCATACGCAAAAAAAGGGCCTGGTTGAGTTTCGTTAGTAGTGTGTTGAAACTCGCTGTTAAGGTAAGAGGCGTGACATTTCCCAAACACGCTCAAAGAGCTTGACCAATCACAACACACAGGTTCAGCCGTCCAATCAGAGCACATTGCGCTTTTCGGAATGAGGGGCTTTACAGATACAGGAACTAAACAGAGCGTTACTGACACCCTGGGAAGAGAGGAGCTGCAACAATATGAAAAATAATGTGTTTTTTGAATATTTTGAAAATGGGCATAATTGGTCCCCTTTTATAAATGTCATAAAGAAATATAATAAACACTTTATTCTTTTCTCAGTTGTATCGACCCCTTAATATCCGGGTTATGCTAGTGGGTCTTGAGGTTTGGACAACACAGGACCAGTTTGTAGTCAGTGTGAGTTCTGATGACACTCTTAGTCGGTTTATTAAGTGGAGAAAGAGCAATCTGCTTAAAAGGGTCAGGCATGACAACGCTCAGTTTGTGACGTGAGTATATGATCTAATTATTAACCATTTACTCAGCTGGATGACTAAGACCTTCACTACACTATAGCATAGCAGAACCTATAGCGTACTTTAATATAATGCTTACAGTAAGGTTTCATTTGTTATCATTAGTTGATGACATTACATATCATGAATTAGCAATAAACAATACTTCTAAATCATTTATTAATCATATTTAATGTTAATTACAACATTTACAAATTTACATTATCTAACATTTGTATCAATTAATACAATGTGAACTAACCTGAACAAACAATGAACAATTGTATTATTAACTAATATTATTAACGAAGATTTATAAATTCTGTAAAAAATATATTGCTTAGTTCATGTTAGCTAATGTTAAGAAACAAAACCATAATGTAAAGGGCTACTGTTTTATTTGTTGGTTTTCTTTTCTTCCAGTGGAATTGATTTTTTGGGTGACACAGTTGGTCTGGCAAACAAATTTGCAATGTGTGCGGAAAGCTCAGCGGGAGTCAATCAGGTATTCATGATCTGAGTTAGTAATGATTTTCTGGTAGTGAATTAATTCCTATAATTGAACAAAAAAGATAATTTCTTTAAAGACACATTATAATTACATATTATTTCTTAAACGGCTATATGCGGTTATTTTTCAGGATCATAATCTAAACTCACTGGGCTTGGCATCTACAATTGCGCATGAGATGGGTCATAACATGGGCATGTCCCACGATGTAGATCACTGCATGTGTGGTTCATCAATGTTCTGTATCATGACAGAGCGTGTGGGGTAAGCAGAATGTGTGTAAGATATTTTCAATGTACTGTTTATTTTTGCTTTAGTTAGAAGTCAGATAACTGTTTGTCAAGTAACTGCCTGCCATCTGTCTACCTACCACACACTCACTACCTAAGCAACTACTGATCAATGCCTAAGACCAAGAATGCCCTGGCAATCACTCATAACATCTTAGCAACCACATAAAAGCAAACTAGCGACAACCTACAATGCCCAAGCAACCACTCGGCAAACCCTTGTGAAAAAGAAGTGCTCTTTATAACACTTTTGAAAAAACGACTTATGGAAGTAATATAATATACTTAGAATATACTTAAGTGTGAATTAAATGTAATATTTTCTGACACTTGATTGAAGGTTATTTACAGTTAAATTAAAATCTATTATAGTTTAAATATAAAATGCAATTAGTTGAACATAGGAGTGTTTTTTTTACCCACATTTAAGTAGAACTTAAGTACATCTTTATATATAATTTCATAATTTCTTTTGTCTTTGAAATATGTTTTAAGTGTTCCGCTGACAAGCAATTATGGTAAACCGAAATATACTTTAATGTAATTTCTTTTGAAACTAGTATGTCATGTATTTAAATATATTTGTAATTCCACATTTGTAATGATAAAGTTTAGTACAGTTAAAGCACCATATTAACTTTAAATGTAACAGCAAACAACAAATTAGTTAAATTTATAATCAAGTATTTTATACTGTATGTGCTTTAGTATGTTAGTCAACGTGTAAAAAATAAGTGTACTTTTTTGGGGGGGGGGAGCTGCTGTAATAAGTGAATTTCTCCGGTGTGGGATTAATAAAGTCTACACATCCTATCCTATCCTTAAAGCATGACAAAAGATTATTATTTAAAACACAATGATTTAAAATGTACTATAAAGTAAAATGTTTAATTTGACAATTACGAAGTGCGCCTTTTAAAAGTGTACTTAGGTGTGTTAAGAAACTTCATGAAAACGTGAAACGTCATGTACTTCCTTTAAATACACTTAAGTGGCCTTTTATTTCATTAATATTATATTATATGCAAGTAAATTTAAAAAAAGCTTTTACACTACAACACCGTACACTACAAGCGCACATTCAGAACAGTTAAGCGTACTTTTTACAAGGGTAGTATACACGTACAAGTACAAGTGCATGAAACTCTTTAAACCTTTAAGTTTCACTCCGCTGAAAACACAATGTAAGGCTTCAATTGGAGATAGATCGTAGTAAAAAACAACAATGTATGTGGACTGCTCTGCCTTGTAGCAGTTTAAAGTGTGCACTGTTTGAAAATGACATATTCTGAAATTGTCTATCTAGCACGCTGTTCCCGGAGATGTTTAGTGACTGTAGTCTAGAACAGCTGAGTGTGTTTCTAGACAACGCCAACCCCAGCTGCCTGCTGGACATCCCCAGCTCATACAAACTCTACAGTGGGCCTGTCTGTGGTAATGCTTTCCTGGACCCTGGAGAGGAGTGTGACTGTGGAACAGTGGAGGTATTGCACACACATCCTGTGTCTGTAATGACTCAGTCAAGCCCGGCTTTGAAATTATCCTTCTTAAATGACATCATTAATGTAGGTTCACGTTTTACCCACATCTGATATCTCATTGATGACTGTGATTTACCGTCTTCTAAGGAATGTGAAAATCCATGCTGTGATCCCAAGACCTGCCGACTGACTGAAGGCTCACATTGTGCTCACGGAGATTGCTGTGAGAATTGCCAGGTAATGTCCATAAGTGACTTTGTGTCTTTAATTTCACTGTAGAGCATTTTGGATAAAATTACTGGGATGAAGTTACCTTGTGTGAGTAGTGGAATAAAATTATTCTGTGCTACTACTAGAAAAATTCTTCAAGCCCTTTTTATAACAAAATGTCACTATGAACTTACACTATAGAATATGTCTTTATTAAAGGAATTATATTCACCTATGAAATTAGTCATGACTTTGATGAGACTCAAACCCACAACCTTTGAACTGCATCATTCTACACTCTAGAACTCTAATGTGCTATCCATTGAGTCTCAGCAGAACAAAAGCCAGGTTCAAAAATGGCCTTCTTTCCTAGGGTAAACCAAGAGAGCAAAGTATTTGGTAGAGAGGCACTGTTGGGATTTAAACCCAGCTTCCATAAATCAGACTTGAGTGCTGCCTTTGACTTGTCGTATAGTGTGTGGGAAGCATAATAGAGTTTGCAAATGTCACGCAAGCTTTTGTTCTAGATGGTTTTTTTGTTGTTTTGGTGTGGGATAAGGGGGCAAAATGCATTTACCAAATTGCCAGAAGTTTAACTCCATAACCTTTGAATGGCCTCATTGAACATTCATAAAGCCCGCCTAAAATCCCCTTCATAGGTACCACTGAACCTAGAATCTCATGTTTACAAGACACACACTCCAACCAACTGAGCAATGGTACCAACTGTTGCAAAAAAAGGGTGACTCAGAAAAGTAAAGATCCAGGAAAGACGTAAAGTGTTGTTGAACAGTCGCTAGAGAGCTTAAAAGAGTTTGTAAATGTCTAACAAATTTACTAGATGTATTTTGGGTGGTATCCACCTTTTTCCTGGTTAGCGAATTTACCCATGATTCATAGCGGGTTTGAACCGGAAGCCGGTTGTCCTTTTCCGGTTCGAAGCTTTATGAAGATTAAGCGCCGCTCGCTCAGAACGCCGCAGTGATGTGCTGGTTAGAAAATATGTGAAATAAGTAGGGCTTCCCCTGCCCGTGCACGACTGAAGTTGGGTTGGAAGTTACTAAATGGGAGAGAATGCTAAACCATAATGGGCGTTTTCGTAATATATTGACAATTCTGCATCACAACGCACCCATAAAGCTTGCCACAAAAAACGGCAAAAGTAATGATTATGCATGAAACATTTGAATTGTTTATTAATAAACTAGTGTTTTCTGTAAGTGTTGACTGCAAAGATAAATTTGATGATGCTGACTCGCCATGTTTGCAGTAGAGAACGCGCCTATAGAGAGAAATGCACACTTCATCCGAATTAACCTATAGGCCTACATAAGCAGAGAGCAGCCCATTTTTGCTTGTTTAAAAGTACATATTTCAAGCTTTCTGTAGATATACTTCTCATGTATGTGAGGCAAGTAACTTATAGCCTACGCTGAGCTTCGTTGATTAACGCGCTCCAGTTCACGTGGCCGCGGCTCCGTGTCCTGTATATATATTTGCTTCTTATTTATTAGTAGGCCTATTCCAGGCAATTTGTTGATAAAACATTGATTAAAATGAAGATACAATTTATACTAAACGAAATTCACTTTAAAGAAAGGCTTTCTACAAAACAAAACTTAATAAGTGGTCAAAATCATGTCTGTCTGAGCCATTCCAAATGTTTTCCGATATATTGGGGCATTATGATCATATCTGACTCATCCCATGCGGTTCCCTTTTCATATAATCAACATAGGTGAAATAAATAAAATAAAAACATTATATTGTGAAACTTAAATATAAAACGTATGTTTAGTTTTTTTTTTAACTTATAGCCTATTTAAGCATCACTGCTCCGCTTTGCTCATGTGCTCTGGTGTGTAGCTTATAGCCTATACATGCATGTGTGCGTGATGTGATGGAGGGGTGCGATTTTCGAATAATAATTGAATAATACCCAGCGATCTTCGATTATTATTTTTGCTTGAAATGCCCATCCCTACTGTTAACGTATTAGGCGTTTGTCAACAAAATGGTGCGGAGAGACATACACCTTTTTCGTTGGATGCTTCAGTTTTAGCGTACCTAACCAAAAACGTCTACTCTTTAGCATTGAATACGAACAGGACATGGGCATTCTCTCCTTTTTGTCTTATGCTCAAAGCACCCAGTTTCTAAAAAGTTTTTTTTTTAATCTTCTTTGAATTGTTAAAACAACCAACAACAGCACGTAGAGCCTGAACTCATTCTCTCACTGCTAATACAGTAACTTATGAACCGGAAGTAGGCAACCGGAGTCGTCGTCATGGCGGCGCGCATTGTTTAGAGCAGAATAAGGTGGATAAGGGTGTTAAAATGCACTTAATTTTTTTTCAAAGTGACTCAAATGGACAACTTTTGAATGGCCTCTTTTTACAATCTAGGTAGCCAATGTGCTATACACAACTAAACATAGCAAACCCACTCCAAACAGAAACAAACCCAGACAATCCAATACATTTCCCCCACCATCAAGAAGGTCCAACGGATGAGGGCGGGAGGGGGCCTAGAAGGTATGGTGCTGGGCAGGCACAGGGGACAAATACAAGAGCCAGGGCGGAGCAAACGACAGGAGGAACCAGGACGGAGATAATGGTGGGAAGAGACAGTGTGGAATCCCCAGCAGAAACCCCAGGACGAAAGCCCAAGCCAGAGTCAAGGGAGGGAGGAGCCACGGTGGAGTCCTGGCAGACGGAAACAGGGCAAAGTTCGTCCGATACGAAGCCGATGGTGATGAAGTCCCAGGTGGAGCCGAAGAGCCCCGGTAACACAGATGGTCCTGGAGACCAAGGCAGAGTCGTGGAGACGAGTGGCTGAGGCGAAGCCAGGGTGCCGGAGGACTGTGGCAGAGCCAGTGCACCTGAGGACTGAGGTGAAGCCAGAAGGAAGGCTGAGCCTGACGGAGCTGAAAGGGTGGAGGGACAAAGCAAAGCTGAAGGCTCAAAAGCCCGTGACACAGGCAGAGCGACGACTGATCAAGGCGGAGTCGTAGGAATGAGGAAACCCGGTGGAGCCGCAGGGACGACGATCCCAAGCGGAGCCGTAGGGGCGTGGAGCCGACTGGTTGACTGGCAGAGGGAGAATCTACAGTCGGGTCAACAGTCCAGGGCTGAGCTGGCGAACAGTCTAAGGCGGATCCACGATGCTTGCATCAGGCAAAGTAGGAGGAGACGAAGGGCTGGAGTAAGAGTGAGGACAGGGCTGAAGGGCTGAAGGACTGGGCAGGGCAGTGCAGGCAGGGGTTTAACAATCTGGACACACACATTTCTCAGGAATGGCATCCTTGGCCAAAGCGGAATGGACAGACTTCTCAGAGACGGCCTTCTTGGCCGATACAATACAGATAGACGTCTCAACGTGGAACAGGCAGACATTTCAGGAATGGCTCTCTTGGCCGACTAGGAACATAATAAAAGAGCTGGATCTAATCACATGCAGTGAACGTTTAATGCAAACAAACTCAAAATACACTTCTCAGGAAAACTAGTTGCAAAAACACGGGAACAGAACAACCAAACTAATATTGACGAGATCACACAAAGAACAGAAGAAACACACAGCCTAAATAGACAGACAAACCAATCAATGAAATCCACAGGTGTAACTGATAATCAAACAACGAATAATCACCAAGTTAACCAACTGAAAAGGAAACAGATCTAAACACATAGCAAACCCACCCTAAAAAGAACCCAGAGTATTGATTCTTCGATCGCTGAATTGAATGCAAAATCAAGCAAACTCAAAGCAATATTAGGTAATAAAAATCCATAAATCAGAGTTCAAGCAAATTAATCAATACGTGTTAAAGTTTCCACTGCATTGCAGTAAATTTGGAATACGGAGCACCGGGACATCTGGTTAAATACAAGTGTTTTAAAAGGAAAGGCGAATTCTGGCCCATTTGAGTGAGGTACAGGGTAATATTTAATATTTTCGATTATCTTTTATTGTAACTATTATTGTATTATTCTAACTTGTGCACTTTCAAAATGAGTGATAGAGACACGGCTGCGCAAGTAATCCAATGCCTCTTTTATATTTATGTGTCAAGCGTGTGGGATGAAATGAAAATTTCTAGAAGTTAATTATCTGTGTTGTGTTAACATTAACTCTAGATAATGTGATAGTAGGCTGTGGTTCAAAATTATTGTTATTTACAATTATTGTTATTTATTTTCTTTTCTCTCTTTCCATGCTAGATGAAAGATGCTGAAAGCTTGTGTCGAGCAGCTGAACATGAGTGTGACGTCCCAGAGTATTGCACAGGGCGCTCAGAGCAGTGCCCAGAGAATGATTTTAAGATGAATGGCATAACTTGCAGCACTGGCCAGGGTTACTGCTACAATGGCCAATGCCCCACTCACCTCCATCACTGCCAAAAACTTTGGGGAACAAGTAAGCATGAGTCCAAAACTTTTACAACATCTATGTCATCTTTTAATAGACATTCCCTAGCGCAGGGTTAGGGAACTAGGGAAATGCTGCTTACAGTTCACAGTAAATGCTGCTTCTCACAAACTCATGTGCATTGTGAGTTTAACATGCATTTGTGCTTTAGGTTCATTTTATTTACTGTCACATTTGCATAATTGCCAACATTTTTGTGGACAGAAATTTTCAGCATTTCATCAATATTCTGCCAAAATAAAAGGTTGATGATTTTGACGTTAAAAGCTCAAGGGTTTGAAATTTTAAAATTGAAGAATTTGAGAAATAAGTATTTGTATTGTAACTTGTAGTGTTTGTTGGTTCTTGTAAAGAGTAAATCCAAGTATGAACAGAAATTTCAAGAAAATGTCACAATTAATTACAAATAAACTGCAAGTAACACATTGAATTAAACATACAATTTTTAAGGACAAAGACTGAAATAGTATTTTCTTGTAAAATGTACTTCATCGATCTTAATTTTATTCACTACTTTGAAGAATACTTTTTTACACTGCAATTATGACATGTGTGATATGATACAAATGTCATGTATGATACGTACTGTATGAAATGTCATATCGCAGCTCAATATATGACAAAATATTTACAATATTAATTTGTGGCCAAGTCGTGCAGCCCTATATATAAGTAATTAAAATAAATAAATTAAAACACTTGCTAAAAAAGGTAGATATTTTGTCTGCATGTCATTTGACCATTCACCGACATCAGAAAACCGTGAACATGCAAATGTGTTGTAAAATTATTTAAGTAATAACATCAAGTAATTTTAATAACCTGCCCTAAAGTAACCTAGGCCTAGTAAGTACATTTTTGTTCAGACGCACAATCAGGGTTCAAATCTGGGTTGTAGGGTTGGGAGCTTACTAAAGTAAGGAGGAGAGATTCCCTGTTATGATTGTAAAGGACTTTTGGTGTACAGTAGTACATATGAAAGTGCTATATAAATGCCTCATTCATTCATTCATTCAAAGTACTGTGCACTGTACCACTGCTTCTAATTACCATAGCAAAATAAATGCTTTTACAGTCTGAATTGAATGTGACAAAAGAAAGATTGACTATAATGAGCTGATTCTTTTACCAAATCTCCAAAAAGGACCAGTTATTCATTCTTCAAAACTACAAGAATTGATATTTGCTTCAATGTTTTTATCTGATTTTTTCACTAGGTTCCACAGTGGCTTCTGATGCATGCTTTTTAAGAAACAGATTGGGAACAAATGATTCTCACTGTGGAAAAACCAAAGATGGCTACAGAGCCTGTACAAAAGAGTATGTGATCTTTTATAATTTTCTATGTAAAATAGCTCACAAAATGACTTTTCCAGCATCAGTATTTGTAGCACCCGGTGTAGATTTTGAAATGATTTACTTTTTTCTTTATATAGAAACATTCGTTGTGGAAAGATATTTTGTGATGGAGGAAACGAATACCCTGTTACCGGTCAGAAAGCTGTCATAGTAACATTAAGGGGAATGTGCAACATAGCTGGGGACCAATCAGAGGAGGACGCCCTCAGCATGGTTCCTACTGGCACAAAATGTGAACATAATAAGGTAAGCTTGTAAAATTTTTATTTGAATTATCACAGCAGGTATTTCTGTCTTGTAGGAACAAATACTGAATGAAATCACTCGGTTATGTTTCAACAGGTTTGCTATGATTATATGTGCCAAGACCTGAATGTGTACGGTAGTAATGAAAACTGCTCACTGAAATGCAGTGGTAGAGGGGTGAGATCAAACCTCCATTTCATTGAAACCAACAGGAAAATGCCATATTTATAATTCATAATATAAAAAGCCATGCTTAGAGTGTTATTGTCTCTTATTTTACAGATATGTAATCATAAAAAACAATGCCACTGTGAGCCTGGTTGGGCACCTCCTTTCTGTGAAGTCAAATATTCTGAATTGCCATCCGGTAATCAAACTCAAACTCACTCTTTTTGTCTGAAAAATTCATAAGTGCGTTTAAATGACCTGCAGTAATGTACCATTTTGACAAATTTGACTCTTGTTTGCAATTTCTTAGGACAAGCAAAGATCATTGGCATCTCAGTAGCAGTTGCAATCGCTCTGCTTCTACTAGTATGTGGAGTAGTGCTTTATCGTAAAAAAAGAAAAAGGATCATCAGCCACAAAACGTGAGTTGTTTAATTTGACTTGCTTTGCTAAATGTATCATGCACATGGTCTTAAATGAACTCAAATAAAAAATGTTCCCCTACCATTCGTATATCTTAGTGGTCATAAAACCGTTCTGCATAGTTTTTCTTTTTTTTTCAATTTATTTTTTGACCCACTGGCCATCCTTGCAGGGTGTTTCCTTGCCTTTGGCCTAAAACGCTGGGTTAGGCTCCAGCATCCCCATGACCGTGATAAGTCAAGTCACATTTATTTATATAGCGCTTTATATACAATACAGAAAAGCAGCTTCAAATGAATAAACAGAACAATAACAGTGTTAATGTTGTAAAATTCATTAATTATGAAACAAATTCAATTTCAGCTGTAAAGCAGCTCTACAGAATAAGATAATAGTGTCATTTTTCAACTCATTTTATCTCAATGCTGTTTTAATTTAGTTCAGTAACTGCGTTAGTATCGCAAAGTTCATCAATTATGAAACAATTTCAATTCAGCTGTAGCAGCTCTAGAGCCCACAATAGTGTCATTATTCAGCTTAAGTCAGTTCAATGATGGTTCAATAACAATGACATTTGATAATAAATGATGATAAATGGTTGGATGGATTTTTTTGGACCCTAAGTCAAGTCAAGTCACCTTTATTTATATAGCGCTTTTTACAATACAGATTGTATCAAAGCAGCTTCACAGTGATAACATGAAAATAATACAACAAAGTTTGTTTCTAAAAGAAAATTGCGTCAACATCCACCTTAAGTAAGGCAGATCAATAATATTATTGAATATTAAATGTCCCCAAGTAAGCAAGCAAAAAGCCAAGGGAACAGTGGCAAGGAACCAAAACTCCATCAGGGACAGAATGGAGAAAAAAACCTTGGGAGAAACCAGACTCAGTCGGAGGGCCAGTTCTCCTCTGGCCAACTAAGGAACAGTGTATGATCTAAGGCAGTGGGTATCATTTAGCTGTTTTTCTCTGAATATTTTAGACATCATCAAATGTGTGATAAGATAAGTATAGACTCGTCATGATTTTGTTCCTCAAAATGTGTTGCGCCAGAGTTCTTTGAAAAACTCTGAAAGTAACCGCTGTCAGATAACATGCAAGTTGGAGTCTTCATCTCATGTGAGGGTACATAATTTTTTCAGAAGTACTATTCATGCCTTGTGTGTGAAACTTCTGTTAATGAAGGTGAAATGACTGAGTGTGTCTTTAAAACATGTTATGTTAGTGTTACATCCAGGTGATTTCCTGGAAGTCCCTTGGAAATTCATTGGTCAGAATGTGTGGCTAGCTGTGAGTTTATGTAATTATAATCTGTCCGTTTATTTTACGTCTGTCTGTTTGTTTACAGAAAAGCTCCATCTTCAGGGCAGTTGAGCCTTCTTGAGAACAATGGTACCAAGAAGGACCACCCTCCAATCAGCCAGCCCATATTCATGGGGACCACCGTAACTCAACCCTGCACCCCTCTAACTGCTAGAGCGGGTCCGGCCCGTCCGGCCCGTCCTGCCCCTCTAGTTAGTACAACCTTCATTATTATGCTGCCTATTCATTATCATCTTAAAGTCAAAAAATCTATTCTCACTGCATGAAAAGTAGAAGTTTTTCCCCCATTTGAGACATTTAATGTGAAATAAATTTAGATTTATTGTTATTTGTTACCATACTAATTGGCTATTTGCATAATGTCTTGCATAAAGTGAGCCACATTGCAGCTTATTCTGGTCAGGAACCACCCATCTAGATGAAAATAGACCTTATGGCCAACATGTAATGCACCCAGTCACAGTTTTTACATGCCATTTAGGGCTGGGTAAATCTAAAATTATTCATACAAGAATAGAGTGCTGAAAAAAACTCTCCCAAAACAAAAATTGTGTAAATTGTGAATGGCTTTGGGATCAGAAATTCTGTCTGTCCAAAAGTCTTAATTAGTACTGATTAAATCTTGAACAAGTTGAATATAAGTTCTGCTCATATCATATCTCATATCTAGTTAATCACTACTTAATCAAACATAACTCAAGTATTGTTCAAAGATTTGAGTCCACAATTTTTACAGCAATGCTTTCCAGTTTTATACAACAGGCATATGGACAGACTAAAGGGTTTCATTTTTGTAGTTTCACATATAATGCCTGTCCGGGACCGGGACAGGAAAGAGTCGAGCAGTCTTTTTGCTCTTCTCTAGAAAGATTAAAATAAATGTGTTCTCATTCTGCTTGCAGCCTCCAGAAAAACCGCAGCAGACTACAGTTAAACAGGTAAGATCAACTGTTGATAGCAGAAATTCATCTTTTCTGGTGACAGTTCTTGTGTAAAATACAATTAATGATGTTTAAAATGTATCCAAAAATAAAAATCCTGTCTCCTGTAAGACTTTCTTTCTTTTGTTGAACATGAAAGGAGATGGAATATTCCCATTTAACGTTTAAAAAAAAAAAACATTTACACAAATTGTATTTTAAGATTAGAAATGCATTTTCTTGCACATTTTGTAAATTATTTTAGCAGTTTACAGCATATATTAGCATTATGTAAAAATTTATTTTAAATATAGGAATCTCCAAAATCATCACATGCACTATAAATGTATCATGAAAGTAGTACAGTGCAGTTACAGTAGATTAGTACTTATTAAACACATTGTTAACATAGCAACATGCTGTTTCCAAACTGTTGTAATCAGGGGTGGAAAATACTTAAGTATTATTGTGGGGAATTTGTCCTTTACTCAAGTAATTTTGAAACTGCAGCAGAATACTTGTACTCTTGTACAATTAATTTTCAGAAGAAAAAAGGATACTACTTTTTACTCCTTTCATTTAGTCTTTCAAAGTAAAGACTGTCCATTCAGCCCTGTCTGTAGCTATGTTTCCATCACCCTGTAATGCGCAGTTTGAAGTATCACGTCAGAATCCCTGATGCGGGGTGGGGGATCCCTTAATACGCTCACTTGAGGTGGCTTTTGACTTGAGTTAACGCGAATAATGGGAGATGACTAATTGTTCGCTGTTGGTGTTTTATTGACTGTTGGTTAATAATACCACCGTCGTCCGCTTGAACAACTTGATGGAAACACACCTAATTTGCATTTGGTTTTATTTTTTCGAAACTTTGAAAAGATTCGCTTCACATTTGGATGGAAACCAATTCCAACCAATTGGATGGAAAGCTAATGTTACACCTGGGGCATGTTCAAGATCACAACGGTGCGCAACGTTTTGCTACGGTTTCCGGGTTGAACGCCATGTTTCCTGGAAACGGCGTGCACCTGTGTGCAACAGGGTTTGAGATGCGTTTTCTCTTGTTTGGTGGGCGTGTCAGAACTGCAGTCCAATCAGCAGCAACATGTATATAAAGCACACGGTATTAAAGAGAACTCGCACAATGGAAGTAATTTACAAATGTGTTCGATATGCAACAACTAAGGATATTAGAAGACATGTTTGTCGTAAGTTTTATTGTAAAAATATAGGATATCAACATATGATGTAGTTGTTTATATTTTTAGCTTCATTGCAAGTGTGTGACATTTGGTATAGAAATAAACAATGCATGTAAAGTGCTTTTCCTAAAAATGAGAAAGAAAATTCAGGGTATTAATAAAACATTATGAACAACAAGGATGTGAGGCTAAATAGATGTGTTTTAGTCTTTATTAGGTAAGATGTGCTTCCATTTCAGTTTCCACAAATCCCTTCACTCGATTGGTTCTCTTGTGTTCTGGGCGGCAAGTGCAGTAACTGTAACATCGGGCATATTTTGTAGTATTAAACATATTTATACCGACTTCATCAGGCTCCGAAAATTCTTCACAAAGAACACAAAAAGCCTTCTCAGCTGCCGTAGTTGCAACTCTTGCGTCATCACAACAGCCCTGTTTTGGGTTTGAGTTTGGTTCTTTTTGCACTGTTCCCAGTTCAGTTTCCTTTGTCTTTGTTCATCAGTTGCCATGGTTTTTGATTTTCCTCATGTGTCACACCTGTGTCTAGTTAATTGTATTGTTTAGTCCCTAGTCTGTCCCTGTGTATTTATAGCCTTGTGTTTTCTTCCGCCTTTGTTAGATCTCGTCAGTTTTATGTGGTTGTTCTGTTCATCGTGTTTTGTTTGTTGAGCTTCTAAGAACTGTTAACCTGAATTTGTGTTCAGTAAAGATACTGCATGCAAATAGACCCAGCTCTTTTATTTTCCAACTTTTTGCAACCCCTTTCCTGCATTCTGACATTGTTCAGACAAATGCATAGTCTTTTCAATTACCACCGAAAATAATTGACTCATCATTCCCCAGTTTGTAAAAGCTTGTATTTTGGGTTTAATGTGACTTAATTGAGCAAAATTTACACGTTATCCACCTTATGTACAATTTCAGTTAGGATATAGGATTTGTAACGTATAATGTTGTTTTTACGCTTTCTAAGCTCAAAAATCCTCTGTGTAATTGTAGGGAATCAAGCCGACTGCACCTCCTGTTCCACCATTTAAACCATCTTTAGCAACAGGATCCTGGAGAACAGATCAAGTTAGTTACTTGCATTTACTCTGAAAGTGATTGTATTGTACGCTCAGTTTAAAACAGTTCATCCTGTAATGTTAATATAAGTTACACTAAAAATAAAGGTTCTTTACTGGCATATGGTTCCATGAAGAACCTTTAACACCCTGAATCTTTCCATTCCACAAAAGGTTCTATGTAGTGGAAAAAGGTTCTTCATACTAAGATTTTATTTAATTTAATTTTTTAGAACTCTTCAATGAAAGGTTCTTTGGGGAACCAAAAATGGTTATTCTATGGTATCACTGTGAAAATTCCCTTTTGGGATCTTTATTTTTAAGAGTGTAAAAGAATTCTTGCATTCACCTAATAGTAAACTGTAGGCGTTTTACATTGCAGGTCACAGGCGATACAGTGAAGGTTGTGTTGAGACCACCCACCATTCCAAGAAGATGACCAGACGTGAAATCATCATGTGACTCATTTAAACAAATTACAGTCCTTGTTCACTTTTATAATGTGGGGGTGGCTGAATCACAAAGTGCTTTTTAAACCACGCTTTAAAAACACACATACACTGTTGTGCTTGGCCTTGAGTAAGAGCTGGTTTTTGTCTGTTAAATTAGTATTTATGATGGTATATTTATGTAATACATTTTAATGTGTGGTTGGAGAAATGATCAATATACCAAAATGCTTTATACAGTAATTAATTTAATTGAACATTTACAGACTGTTACCAAGTGTATGTATTTAATTCTGAATAAAAGTTATTTAACATATCCTGATCTGCCTTAAACTCAAATAAAGTATGAAACCAAAACAAGAAATATGTTCTACTGATTTGGTCACTTGGGAACCTATAAGTTTCAAAACTTAATGAGAAAAAACTTTTAACTAATATGGTGTTCCTTTGTAATTGATTTTGATTTTTAATTGATTTTGTACTTAAAGGGTTTGTTCACCCAAAAATGAAAATTCTGTCAGTATTTACTCACCCTCATGTTGTTCCAACCCCGTAAGACCTTCGTTCATCTTCGGAACACGAATTAAGATATTTTTGATGAAATCTGAGAGCTGGATCACTCCTCCATACTAGTCCATAGGCTTCTTCAGGGATTGAACTTGCCGGCCTCGAAAAGTTATTAAAGGCATCGTTAAAATAGTCCAAGTGACTACAGTGGCTCAATCTAAAGTATATCATGCGACGAGAATACTTTTTGTGCCTAAAAAAAACAAAAATAATGACTTTTTTCAACTATTCATTTCCTTCTCTTTGGGCCTCTACTCAGTTAACGTAGTGTGATTCCGTAGAGCTACGTCACACGTAGGCTCACTATTGGCCGACGCTGGTCATGTGGGTGATGCGTGTGACGTACAACAACAGAAGCTTACGCTATTACACTAGTGAACTGACTCGAGGCCATAGACAGTATAAAAAGTGGACAGAGCCATCTCATTGGAACTCAGTTGAGACAGTTGAAGCCCGTTTTTAGCGATTTTTGAGCACTTCCGTTCCTGACGCGCAGACTCAAACCGACTCAAACTAAGCTTGATGACGTGAGCAAGCTGTCTGACAGACGTTGATCTTCTAGTAGCTGTGCGTGAAAATTGCCAACGTTAATCTTGCAGAGACGGGGAACTTGAGCAAAGAGTTCTTTGGCGTGAGTGAGCAGGAGGAAGTATTCCGTTGCTTTTATGGACTCATTATCTATGGGCTTCTCCCTTGACGGGACGTCCCCCCGATTGCCTGCGAGCTTCTCCTCCTGTCTGTACGGTAATTTCTGTACAGCGCGACAGAGAGTCGAGTGGTTATGACGCAATCGTTAGCCTATTTTTACTAAATCTGTTTCTACGGGGCCATAATGTAACATAGAAGGTAATGGAGCCCTTTATACATTGTCGTGTTTCTTTAGAAATAAATAATGGACAAATGGAGTCTTTAAACGCCTCAGATGTAAAATTATTCGCTGTCAAAGTGACGCCAAAATGAATGGGAGTCAATGGAAATGCTAACGCAAGTGAAGTTCTGCTACAACATGGCGGCACCCGGCCGGCTTCAACTTCCGGTCGATGGATTACCCCCTTGCTCGAGGCCCACAGAGAAGGAAATGAATAGTTGAAATAAAGTCGTTATTTTTTGTTTTTTTTTGCGCACAAAAAGTATTCTCGTCGCTTGATAAACTTAAGATTGAGCCACTGTAGTCACTCAGACTATTTTAACGATGTCTTTAATAACTTTTCAAGGCCGGCAAGTTCAATCCCTGAAGAAGCCTATGGACTAGTATGGAGGAGTGATCCAGCTCTCAGATTTCATCAAAAATATCTTAATTCGTGTTCCGAAGATGAACGAAGGTCTTACGGGGTTGGAACAACATGAGGGTGAGTAATTACTGACAGAATTTTCCTTTTTGGGTGAACTAACCCTTTAATGTCTCGTCTATTTTTTGGCATCTTTTCTTTTTTCTTGGCAAAACTGCAACAAAAAAAGCGTAATAATCATTGTTAAAAGGTTAGAAACACGCACGCACGCACACACACACACACACACACACACACACACACAATGAGCACATAATGCCCTCACAACCTTCTCTACAACTCCTGAACAGCCCAGATAATATTGCACATGACTGATCCTGTATTTAGTGCAATAATTTTTCCCTAACCTTTGAGATACGGTCTGTACACTGAATCACGTGTGCCTTTTTGACTCTTTGTGAAGTGTGATTCATTGTGATTAAGCTGTTTAATTTTCCTGTGGGTGAAAATGATAACACTGTACATCCCGGGCTCCTTTGGAAAGGATAAGTGATACACTTGTCTGTGCTTGTCTTGATGTTGTGCTTAGAAGCTTGTTATCTGAGTAAAAGCAAACATTTTCAAAGTTCATAAAACAGAAGTGTACAATACTTTAAGAAAAAACTGGTATTATTTGTGGTTGTAAACTGTGCTGGTATCACAGCTCTATCCTCATGTGAATTGATTCAGCTATTCTCTAATGTACATTAACAAAGTCACGTGTACTACTGTATGTCAGCACTCAGTACTGAATTATATTCATTAATACAAACACAGAAGATTTCATTATGACCAGTGACTCAAATAGCAGCAAAACTGTTTTCAACATTGATAATCGTCCGAAATGTTTCTTGAGCAGCAAATCAGCATATTGGAAATATTTCTGAAGGACCATGTGTCACTGAAGACTGAAGTAATAATGATTTTACATCACAGGCTTAAGCTGAAATAGCCTCCTATTCCCTCAAAGAGGGCATTATTTGAGGGGACAGCCATTTGTAGTGGTGTCCGAAACCGTAGTGGACATTATCGAGTTCACTCATTCAATCCCACATCGCACCACAATAACGTGTGTACAGCCGATGTACGCTCAACGGCGGTCCGATTTCGCTCACTTGTTTTCAATCACTCCTTCAAGTGAACTCTGAACTAACGTAGGGAATATTGATTGAGCGTTTAGGGGGCGATTTTGGATTCAGCCAGTGCTTGTCACGGTTTCGCCATGCTCCAACGTTCACAAACCTGTTCTGACCTGCGCATAGACACGACCACAACGCATGATATTCAGCCGGATCCAGGCCGGATCCAGATCAGATGGAGGACCTGCGCCTAGACACGACCACAACGCATCCCTGAAGTGTCAGCGGAGGCTGTGTCAACTACTCTCCCCTCTGAAGGCCTCATCGACACGACAGCCATCGGCACTGATCCTCAACAAACCCGTCTCCATCCCAGCGTGATGACTCCGATTTTTAACCAGATATAACTGGATAATATTCGGAATGTTCCTGTAATGCTGCCTGAATCATAATCATTCACTGTTGGTTCGTCGGCCAAAGGAGAACTTGCCCCCCGACTGGTTTTGTCCCAAGGTTTAATTTAATTAAAAAATGTTATATATTAAATGTTAAATTAAATACTAACCATAATACAGAACCAGATAAGCCCATGTTAAGAAACAATGTGCCTATTTTTTAGGACAGCGTGACAAACAACAATTTACAGCTTTTAGGCAGTGTGACCCTCCCCAGCCCAGTCGCAAACTCTGACAATAAAAACAAGAGAAAAAAAACAGGTTATTTAAGGGTGTTACATTTAAAGAGAAGTTAAAGAAAAAAAACCTAAAACAAAAAAAAGGTTCATCTAGTTGCTTCCTGTAAGTTAGTTCTCAAGCTTTTCTTGTTGTTGTGAAGGAGTGAGGAAACCATTTGTTAAGACATCATCAGCAAACAGAACAGTGTTTTGTAATCTGTGTAATTTGTAAGATGATGTAAAATGAACAACCATATCTAATCAAACACTGCTGTAATGCCGTAAATTATTTCATTATTTCTCTGCTGAGTTCTTCCTTTGTTCACTTTTCAGTTTCAAGAACACAATCTGTGCTACTGGTCAAAAGTTTGGAATCATTACGACTTTTAAATGTTTTTTAAAATCTCTTATGCTAACCAAGGCTGCATTTATTTGATCAAAAATACAGTAAATACAGAAAAATATAAAAACAGTAATATTGTGAAATATATTTTATATACATTTTCTATGTTATTTAAATGTTATTTATTCCTCTAATTTGCTGAATAATGCTAAAAGCAGTCTTAGTGAGCGTAATATACTTTTTTTCATAAAAACAAAAACAAAAATCCAAACTTTTGAATGGTAGTTAAAGTGAATATCTAAGACATATGCTGCACGATTTGAGTTTATTCCCACAAATAATTTTAATAAATTTTTTTATGTATAACTAAACTTGTCATAAACATTTGTAAAGCATTTTTAGAATATTACATTCCTTTTCTGTGTCATTTATGACTTAAAATAAACCATAAAATAAAGATCCCAGTCCAGCAGCTTGAAAACATCTTGAAGCACAATTGGGAAATATTTAACAGGACAGCACTTAAGCCTGTTTTGTTGGATTCAAAGTACTAGGGATCACAAGGTCTGTCCCTTTTCCTTAGTTGCAGTTTTCTGCTGACTGTAGTATGTGTATGTCCTGCTGATGCACGGCTCTCCCAACACAACACACAGACTAACAGACATGTACGGCAGCAGTAGCAGTCTCAAGACTCCCACAAGTCCCCAAGAAGAGGACAAAGGAGAAGGAAAGGTCTATGGGAATGTTTTTGCGGAACTGGAATCAGTAGACCTGCCCCTGGGAACGAGTTTAAGGTAAAGAGTGGTTTTTTTTATGGATGCATTGCGTTACCATGTGGAACGTTTATGATTTAACATTAATAGTGTTCTTTATGGATGCATTTTCAAATTGGGGAAACCAAATTGTGAAGGTTTAAAGGGATAGTTCACCCAAAAATGAAAATTAGCCCATGATTTACTCACCCTCAAGCCATCCTTGTATATGACATTTTTTTTCAGACGAATACAATCAGAGTTATATTAAAAAATGTCCTGGCTCTCCCGAGCTTCATAATGGCTGTGAATGGCCGTATATTTTTTTAAGTTCATCAAAGTCCATCCATCCATGATAAAAGTGCTCCACACCGCTCCGGGGGGTTAATAAAGGCCTTCTGAAGCGATGCGTTTGTGTAAGAAAAATATCCATATTTAAAACTTTATCGACTAAAATAACACTGATTTCCATTAAAAGTAATGCAATTAGTTACTTTTTCTAAAGGAATAACTCAGTATTGTAATGCAATACTTTTAAAAGTAACTTTACCCAACACTAATGATGATGCAACATTAGATTAGCCAGTGTGTTGATAAGGGAAATAAACAGAACCCTTTGCTAATAGAGTTGTCATAGCACAAAATGTTAAATTATTCAAAGAGGCAATGGTGTTCTGACAATTTAGGTGAATAACTGAATAAAGAATAACAGACGAAGCAGAATCCTGGTAAAAGCGATTAATCTGAAATTCTACAGACCTCCGTCTTCAATGTCACATGATCCTTCAGATATCATTAAGTTGGCTTGTGAGAGCCAACTTACTGATGTTGTATTTAAACTTATTATTAGTGGTGCTTGCCAAAGGCAAAGCAACACTAGTGTTATTGTGCATACTTATTATTCTTATTCTAATTAGTGGTGCTTGCCTATGGCGAAGCAACACTATTGTTATCTCACATACTTATTATTATTCTTCTTATTATTATTCTTCTGGCCACTTTTTGACGCGCTACTCCTCCCGCAGTTTTTGTCACAGACCCATGAATGAGGTGTCAAAACGTGCGGCCTGTTCGGGAATGGTGTGCTATGACTTTTCTAAGAGATCGGGGGTACGATGGTCGCCCCAGGGGCGAAAAACGGCCCAAAAAAATCCCATAGACTTAACATTGCGAAAAACTTTGACGAGTCATAGCTCAGAGTGTGAATTTCGCAGAAACGTGAAATTTGCCACATTTGAAGAGGCTGACAGACTCTGTAAGAACATACCACACAATGGGGTAAAAGTTGCACCCCTGGGGGGCAGGAGCTGCCCAAAGTTTCCCCATTGACTTACTATGGTGTAGGACGGCCCATGAAATGGGCCGTCCTACACCATAGAAACCGCTTTTATATTGAACATAACTCTGGATCACAGTGTCATAGAGACAAGGGGGCGGGCTCATTTTACTCAGACAACCAATCAGTCTCTCAGGATCATTGTGAAGCTATCAAGCCACGCCCTAGCAACCATTTAGAGCACCTTAGCAACAACTCCCATAGACTTCCATTGAAAGAGATCGAAGGGATATCTCTGGACTGAATTGTCATAGAAACATGAGGGTGGTCTCGTTTGACTCGGGGCAGCAAACAGCCAATCATGAATCACCTCAACACTTCCTAGCCACGCCCTAGCAACCATTGTCGAGCACCTTAGCAACCAAAATCCAATGAGGGATATCTTCCATTCTGAATGTCACAAAGGCGTGGGAGTTGGTTTATATCATTCATAGTGACAAGAAGCCTTTGGAGTTTCATGATTGGCAACTGCCAAGCCACTCCCTAGCAACCAAACAGAGTACCCTAGCAACCATTTTGCAAGACCAATATCTCTGCATCAGAACATCGTATAGAGATGGGGGTTGGTTTATACATTCACATTGACTTTGGAGCTTCATGATTGGCAGCTGCCAAGCCACTCCCTAGCAACCAAACAGAGTACCCTAGCAACCGTTTTGCAAGACCAATATCTCTGCATCAGAACATCGTATAGAGATGGGGGTTGGGTCTTTTGACTCATGCTAGCAAACAGGACTTGCTACATGCTACACATACTAGCAGTGAATAGCTACATGCTAATATTGATTAGCTAAGTGCTAAATCATGCCAATAAAATGCTACAAACTCAACAGTAACCATCTTTGACAACTACCAACCACCTAGTAACACCATAGCAACCACCCAAATTACCCTAGCAACACCCTAGCAACCACCCAGAACACCCTAGCAACTGCCTAGCAACGCCCTAGCAACCACCCAGAACACCCTAGCAACCGCCTAGCAACACCCTAGCAACCACCCAGAACACCCTAGCAACCGCCTAGCAACCACTCAAAACACCCTAGCAACCACCTAGCAACACCCTAGCAACCACCCAGAACACCCTAGCAACCACCCAGAACACCCTAGCAACGCCCTAGCAACCACCCAGAACACCCTAGCAACCGCCTAGCAACACCCTAGCAACCACCCAGAACACCCTAGCAACCGCCTAGCAACCACTCAAAACACCCTAGCAACCGCCTAGCAACACCATAGCAACCACCCAGAATACCCTAGCAACCGCCTAGCAACCGCACAGAACACCCTAGCAACCACCTAGCAACACCCTAGCAACCACCCAGAATACCCTAGCAACCACCTAGCAACACCCTAGCAACCACTCAGAACACCCTAGCAACCGCCTAGCAACACCCTAGCAACCACCCAGAACACCCTAGCAACCGCCTAGCAACACCCTAGCAACCACCCAGAATACCCTAGCAACCACCCAGAATACCCTAGCAACCACCCAGAACACCCTAGCAACCACTCAGAACACCCTAGCAACCACCTAGCAACACCCTAGCAACCACCCAGAACACCCTAGCAACCGCCTAGCAACACCCTAGCAACCACCCAGAATACCCTAGCAACCACCTAGCAACACCCTAGCAACCACTCAGAACACCCTAGCAACCACCTAGCAACCACCCAGAACACCCTAGCAACTGCCTTGCATCATCATAGCAAACTCCAACAACACCCTAGCAACCGAGCGGCGAGTTTTGCCACTGCAAGCACCACTTCACATTTTCTTCTGGAAATGTACATTCTAGTTTTTATTATTATTATTCTGGACAAAGTTTGACGCGCTACTCCTCCCGCAGTTTTTGTCACAGACCCATGAATGAGGTGTCAAAACGTGCGGCCTGTTCGGGAATGGTGTGCTATGACTTTTATAAGGGATCGGGGGTACGATGTTCGCCCCAGGGGCGAAAAACCGGCCGAAAAATCCCATAGACTTAACATTGCGTCAAACTTTGACGAGTCGTAGCTCGGAACGAGGATGTCGCAGAAACGTGTAATTTACCACATTTGAAGAGGCTGACAGGCTCTGTAAGAATATACCACACAATGGGGTAAAAGTTGCACCCCTGTGGGGCAGGAGCTGCCCAAATTTGCCCCATTGACTTACTATGGTGTAGGACGGCCCATGAAATGGGCCGTCCTACACCATAGAAACCGCTTTTATATTGAACATAACTCTGGATCACAGTGTCGTAGAGACAAAGGGGCGGGCTCATTTTACTCAGATGACCAATCAGTCTCTCAGGATCATTGTTAAGCTTTTAAGCCACGCCCTAGCAACCATTTAGAGCACCTTAGCAACAAGTTCCATAGACTTCCATTGAAAGAGATGGAAGGGATATCTCCGGATAGAAGTGTCATAGAAACACGAGGGTGGTCTCGTTTGACTCGGGGTAGCAAACAGCCAATCATGAATGACCTCAACACTTCCTAGCCACGCCCTAGCAACCATTGTCGAGCACCTTAGCAACCAAAATCCAAAGAGGGATATCTTCCATTCTGAATGTCACAGAGGCATGGGAGTTGGTTTATATCATTTATACTGACAAGCAGCCTTTGGAGTTTCATGATTGGCAGCTGCCAAGCCACTCCCTAGCAACCAAACATAGTACCCAAGCAACCATTTTGTAACAGCTATATCTCAGCATCAGAACATTGTATCGCGATGGGGGTTGGTTTATATCATTCATACTGACAAGCAGCCTTTGGAGTTTCATGATTGGCAGCTGCCAAGCCACTCCCTAGCAACCAAACAGAGTACCCTAGCAACCATTTTGTAACAGCTATATCTCAGCATCAGAACATTGTATCGCGATGGGGGTTGGGTCTTTTGACTCATGTTAACACACAGGACTTTCAACATGCTAAACATGCTAGCTGTGAATAGCTACATGCTAATATCGATTAGTTAAGTGCTAAATGATGCTAGCAACATGCTAATCTTGCTAGTATCTGGCTACAAACATGCTAGCAAACATGCTAATCATGCTAGCATGATGCTAGCAACATGCTAATCATGCTAACATGATGCTAGCAACATGCTAATCATGCTAGCATGATGCTAGCAACATGCTAATCATGCTAGCATGATGCTAGCAACATGCTAATCATGCTAGCATGATGCTAGCAACATGCTAATCATGCTAACATGATGCTAGCAACATGCTAATCATGCTAGCATCTAACTACAAACATGCTAACAAACATGCTAATCATGCTAGCATGATGCTAGCAACATGCTAATCATGCTAGCATGATGCTAGCAACATGCTAATCATGCTAGCATGATGCTAGCAACATGCTAATCATGCTAGCATGATGCTAGCAACATGCTAATCATGCTAGCATGATGCTAGAAACATGCTTATCATGCTAGCATGATGCTAGCAACATGCTAATCATGCTAGCATGATGCTAGAAACATGCTAATCATGCTAGCATGATGCTAGCAACATGCTAATCATGCTAGCATCTAGCTACAAACATGCTAATCATGCTAGCATGATGCTAGCAACATGCTAATCATGCTAGCATGATGCTAGAAACATGCTAATCATGCTAGCATGATGCTAGAAACATGCTAATCATGCTAACATTATGCTAGCAACATGCCAATCATGCTAGCATGATGCTAGCAACATGCTAATCATGCTAG